TCCCCCTAGGTACAACGCAGTTCTGCTTGCATTGGTTTGTCCCAGTCCATCACTTTTCTCTTTATTCTCTCTTTAAATCTCACTGGCCTGGCCTGGCCTGTTGTCTGGAGATAGCTAGGCAGGTGCTGTTCTGTGTATGTGGCTAAACTACCTGAGAACACACACTGTGCCCATGGTTATCTGTCCTCCACCATGTCTGATTACATCCCTCCTCCGGGCATCTCATGACTAACCTGGACTGGGGCAGAGAATGTCCCTTCTGTTTGTACACTGGTACTGCCAGCTGGGTCCTTAGAATGCTCCTGTAAAAGGTCATGTGAAGGGGAGCCAGCCCAGCAGTGATGGGTTTTGTCTACACTCAGGTTACACTGGTTTATCCACAGTTGTAATTAACATTGGTTCATTGGCAGGGCTTTGTACCAGTTTACCAAAGGAAGCTGACAGAATAGGTGGAGTGATTGACGTTGCTCCACACAGCAACTGGGAACACAGCCTGTCATACCAAGGGTCAGGAACTAAGTGTAAAGCTGCAGGAAGGCTCTTCCCTGCTCCACTTCTGTTTGATCCCCTCTCTGGTGCGGGACTGCATGTTGCACCCACTGGCTCTGAACCCAACTGCTGCCTGGTTCTGCTCAATCCCCCAGCACTAGCAGCTGTGCTTAGCACCTATCTAGTAAGTCTCTAACATTAATCTGTTCAAGGCCAAATCACCCCTCCCCCCCAAGAACTATTTCAAACTTTTAGCTAGTATGGGGAGTGAGGGGGAGTTGATCCAAGAAACAGCAAAGGCCTTGTCTACACACATTGCGCAGGACTATTTGGCATAGCTTTCGAGTTAATTTAAACGGGTGCAGACAGCTGTGTGGCTCTTCCTCCTCCGCAGAACATCGGTTTGTCTTTTCTTCCCCCAACCAGTTCCTGGTGCTTTCAGGCAGTGGCTTTTTTAAAATATCTGTTTCCTTTACAAAGTGTAACCAAGTGTGTTTACAAGCCACTAGCTCGTCTCAGAAGCCCCAGTAAGTTCCTTTAGCAGGGCAGGTGAAGCAGTCTTTGGTCAAGGAGGGGTGGGGCAGGAAGGGAGACAAGACAAGAACTCACAGCCA